GTTGTCACAAAAGGTGCCAGCTGGGGTGGTTTTGTTATGGGGACTTCAGCAGTTGGGAGTTACTGATTTTTGGAAAATCTAGTCAATTACTTTGATACCTGCTAAGAACTGATGTCTGATCTTCCCCATGGAACCAAATTTAATGCTAAGGTGTAGAATTTTCTCTCAGAACCCCCATATTTGTGCTGTAAATACATTCATTTCACCAGGTTTATTCCATTGTACACTGTCAGTTTAGGAGTGTATCTGGCCATGATGTGAATGCAAAGCAGAGTTGACCTTTGAGCTCGCTGCTTGTTCCATGCATACTAAGCAATCTGAGAGTACTTTCTCATCTGCTTTCCTCTGATTGTCTCTCAGAGGACAGAAAGTACTGCAAGTATATAGATATACAGCAGAAATAAGGTCAGAAGTGCCCCCCCCCTTCACCTCTCCAAAGTGCAAAACTAAGGGGTTGCTTCAACGTAGCTAATTGCTCAACTTTGAGCTGGGAAAAACTGGTATCAGACATAGAAATAAAAGATTTTAGAGGGGTAAACAAACCTGTATCAATAACTTAAGGTTCATACTCAAAACCTGGAAGGTTGACTGTTGAAATAGGTCAGAAAAGCAGTGCTCTCTCTATATTTTTAAAGTACTTAATGCTCAGCATTCGTGTTTAAATATGGGGGATTAATAGCTTAAAATATGAGTTGAACTTCCCAGTTGTGGTGGTGAGTGCAATTTCATGGGGTGCTAATGGGTGGATGCAGCTCAGCAGCAGGGTGAGGGGTGAAGGGTATGAAGAGGATGAGTCTTGGGAGGAGGAATGTGTGATAAAAATACTGACCTTACTGTCCAGGAGTAACAAAAAGCTGAATTTTACTTTTTCTCAGCTTCAGGTCCATCACAGGCTAATTCAGGTTGGAAAGGTCTCTTTTCCACCACCTGCTCGAAGCCTACCCCAGGCCACGAGGGCTTTATCCAGTCTAACCTGGAACACACCAAGGACTGGAGCTGCACAGTGTTTGTGAGAGCCCCTTTGACTCCTCTTTGTGAAGAGAAGAATTTTTTCTTTCCATCCAGGCTGACTCTCACTTGTTTCAGTCTGTCCTGGTTTTTTCTTGTCCTCCAAAAATGCCCCACCACGAAGAGCCTGGCTTTGTCTCCTCAATGACCTCACAGGTGAAAGGGTGACTAAATGCCCCAGAAGCCAGGCTGACCTTGCTCTGGGGAGTTTGTTTTTTGAGTGCAGACCTTGCCTTGGCTTTACAAGAGCAAGAGCTGTGTCTTTCTCTGCCTCCCAACCAAAGGTATCGTATTGCTGTCCAGGTGGGTACCAGTACTCCTCTCACACCTTCCTTTCTTGATTTCCTTCTTACTTTATTTAAAAAGAACATAAATACTTTGAGTGTAAATACTCTCACACAGATTATCTGTGGAGGACTGACTATGGTTAGAATCACAGCTGCCACATTAAGGAAACTGTGTGAAAGACTGAAATTCTGCATCTGAATCTGATCTGGCAGTTTTGCACTGGTGGATCTCTGACTTCCACTGCATTCCTGTTTCTAGTTTGAGAACTGAAAATGGTCTATTATGTCCATCTCCCAGTGCTGGACAGTCTGTAAGGAATAAAGAGGGATGAACTTCATTTTACTAATGAAGAACTCCCAAATGATCTTGATTTCCAGTTTAATGGAGAGCTTTGTGAATATTCTTTGTTAGATGCATTTTAAGTATTTTTAGGTATTAGGAAATGAATTAGTGTTTAAAGAAAAGGGGAAAAACCACCAACAAACCTGTAGTTTAGTAGATGATATAGACAGTAGAACGAGCTTGAACATTTCCAGTGATGATAAATGATGCCTTGGTGTCCCCTTTGATTGTGCTTTTACACTACATTTGACAGTCTGCTAGATCTGCTTTTTAAGCAATGAGCCACACTCTTGATATTTCTGTGGTTGTGTCACCTTCAGAGCAGACCTTTGTGTTAATTGATAGCATGGGGAAAATTCTTTTGTGTTCCTTTTTTTTTTTTTTTTTCCCCTTACAGGAAGAGTTTAGAAAAGAAAACCTCTTGTAAAAAATTCTACTTCATGCCAAAGGGTTTTGTAGGTGCTTATCATCGAAGGGCAGGGCTCTGAGAAAAGGACCTGGGAGGGTTATGAACCCCTGAGGAAGTGGTAACAGTGTACAAAGGACTCCAATTGTGTGTATCCTGTTTTTTGTAGTCGTAGGAAAAAACTGTGTTGTGTGGCATTTTAAAGTCAGAGAAAATAATGGGGTTTATTCAAAATAGCTGGGTGGTTTTTAATGATCAGCTGGCTGTAGGAACACGGCTGAGCAGCCTCTGTGAATGTTTGGTGATGAAATCTCGGAGCAGTTTGAAACTGGAATGCACCAAAGGCATGTGAGCAGCTGTCCCTGGTGGTCAGCTAATCTGATGAGGGGGGGAAATTGTGTCACAGAGAATGTTCTAATGCAAAATGAAAATCTTGGATCGGCATCCAGAGAGCTTTATTGGAACACAATATTTTGTACTGGGGAGGAATGACATTTAAAATTTTGTTAATAACAAGGGAGGAGGGAGGAAAGAAAAAGATGTGAAATGTGAAAGATTGGAAATAGCAGAGGAAATTATTTAAAGCACTGTGGACATCCATGCAGGGGTATAAAGACATCCTGGATGTGCAGTGGGGGAGGGTGTGTAAAAGGTGTGGGAAGGAACTTCTGCCAGGCTTTCCTTTAATGCCAGTGCAGAACAACAGTCAAGGAATCCTTTACAGAATGCCTGTGTCCTGAGGGCTCCAGCCAGCTCAGCCAGAGCTCCCATGCTTTTTTGGAGAGTGGATTGGTGTCCATGAGCAGAAAGGGCAAATGTATCTCGGTTTGACTGTGATGTGTTGGGTGGGGCGCAGGAGGCTTTGGGCTGCCTTGAGCACTCCTGCTCCTGGGACAGTGGGCAGTGTTTCAGTCCTGTGTCCTGGGTTACTACACAAGAAAAGAAATGTGCAGCTGTGCTGTCCCTGTGAGTTGCCTGTCCTTCTTAAAAATTAGAAGCTCTGCATAAAACAGAATCTTTTGGAAAAAGTGTATATGTTGTATGAATGCAGTCCCTGAGTAACAGGATAGTTTTCATCTACAGTGGAGCAGATCTTGTTGTGCTCATCGCTGCTAGATCAGTTTGCTTAGTTGGAGAGGATGTCATGAGGCAGTTCAAGACTGTGAGACAAAATGTTTTCTGCAGTATGTTCATCACTCGCTTAAACCTTTTGTAAGTGACTCATCTGCAGAATATTTTTAAAGCACAATGTAATTTTGAAGACTTTACTGATTATGTACCAATAGATGTGCCCTCCTCATCTTCTGTGATACAGATCACTTTAAAACACTTCAAAAGATCCCAGACATTCACTTTCTCGTGCCTTACCTTACACATTAATTGAATACATTGAAGTTTGTTGAGAAGGATGATTTAAAGTAGCCTTTTGCATTCTGCCCAGGCACTTTTTGGATCTTATGGACATGCACAGTGTACTTACTACCTGTGAATTTATTTAATTCCATTCCACTATATTACAGTGTGGCTAATATCACGTTTCTCACTTTTTTAAAAAAAACCCACTATGAGGTTATGATTTGGAGCTCTCTCACGTACCATTTTATAACACTTTTCCTCACTGAGTCTGTCTCTGGGCAGATATTCAGCCTGGTACAAGAAGACATAAATCTGTTTCCTTCAGTGAGTCAGACCCTTTTTTCACTGGCTGAAATCTGTGCCGCTCTATGCACAGTATTACTCTTTGCATTTATGTACATACAAGAAGGTGCAGTGTCAGACACTACAGACTGCAAGCTTAAAAAATGCTAATTAAGTACCTGGGAACTGTGAATTGTATGCTGAAATTCCACGGGTTATGTGGTGAGGTTTAATCTCGGTCAGAGAGCAGAATGTTAGATTTGTGTTGTCCTCATAGAAGCACAGATGTTCGCTGAGAGATGGCCAGTGTGAGATGCTGCTGACAGGGTGTGCCTCTGGATTAAAAATGTTCGTAATGACAAGTGGAACAAGTGTAAAGATCACTATGATGATGCCAACTTGTATTGCCAGACCATTCAAAAATTGAGATCTGAGCACTAAAAACTTCAGATGCTTAAAACCCAAGAGCAGAATTTTGCCTTTAAGCTTTAAAAAACCTAGGTAGGTGAATGGAGTCTTCCAGTATAATTTATCCTGTAATTGCCTAGTTATTACATGATATCATAACAACAAACTAATACTGAAAGATACCTTCCTGTAAATTACTAATTTTTTACTGAAGGATGTGAAAGCATCATTGGGTTCATCATGTTCTTTGGAGAACTTGTGTTCTTTCCATAGTAATCTAATGCTTTTAATTTTCCTTAACCCTTTCCTGGCATAGGCATGGCTCTTCTGGGAGAAGGGCTCGGGCACCAGCCCTGTGTCCTGTAAGAACCCTAGTGCTGGTTCTGCCAGACAGGCTTCAGTTCTTCCCTGCAGCAAGTTTAAAATCCCATCGTATTTCCAGCCCTCATTTGTCATCATTTCTCCCCAGCAAACCTCCTATCAGTGACTTCACTGCTTCTCCCAGTTCCACAGGCGGAGATGGCTGAGTGGGTGTCACCAAAATGAGGAATGTGGCTAAATCTGGTGATGCAGAGCAGGATGAGATAATGTGGTAACTGGCACTATTTTAAGCGTTCTCTGTTTTGTTCATCTCACTCCACATGTATGAGGGACTAAAGAAAAGGATAGTGCTGACTATAGTCCAGTTTCTCCTGTGCATAGTCAGGCTGTAAATCAAAAGATCTGCATTATGGAGATGTAAATAAAAAAACCCACGGGTGAACTTATGTCTTATCTTAAATCTGTTGTCCTGGAGAGAATAAAGTTGTTCGAAGAAGAAACAGAAAGGAAAGAATCTGGTTGGATATGGTGTCTCTGAAGTGTTTCTGTTATGCCTTCTTACCACACTTGTGCTTTCTCTACCCCCTAGCTTTCTTTGGGAAGTACCTAAATGAATACAATGGCTCCTATGTGCCTCCTGGTTGGAAAGAATGGGTTGGATTACTTAAAAACTCTCGATTTTACAACTACACACTCTGTAGAAATGGAGTGAAGGAGAAGCATGGATATGACTACTCCAGGGTAGGTCCTATTGATTTATTTCTATTAACATTTGGATGTGACCACAAGAAAGCTACACTTTATGGTTTCAGTCTAACTAAAGAATTCTTTTTGTACTTGAAAGCTGGTACGTGTAACATCATCTACAACCCCCAACAGCAGAAGTGTCTGGACATTTTGTTATCTTCCATTCTGGGAGGGTCATGATGGTACTGAAGACATTATTAGCAGCAATGGAAACAAACAAAATGTCCTGAGACTGTATTAGGTATTATGAGCTGAAGATGTGAAAATGGATTTAAATGCTGCATGATGGCTGTTTCTGTGTTTTGTACTTTAATTGTTGTGTGACTCTGATTTTCATCTGTTCCCTTGGTATAGAACTGTCTTCAGTGGAGTTACACAAGCATTAATGAGATAAGAATCCAGTTCCCTCCAGCTGGACCCATCTTTTTAGTTTAAAGAACTTGATTCACAGCCACAATAGGATGGAGAATTCCTAGGATCTTGCTACAACTTAGGATGACTCTGAATGAGTGGAGAATTTAACTGTTATGTTTATATTTCCATACATACGGGTGCAGATGTTTCTTAATATCCTTTCAAGGATGGTTACACCCTGAGCAAACTTACCAAAAGGCTTCATAGTCATTGTCAAATGCAGCATCATTTTTTATCTCATCTACCACGTTCCAGCTCAGTACCTGTTTGCAGTCAGGAGCACATTTATTTCAGCCAAAAGTGTTCCTCTTCAAAGGAACCACCTTAGTGGAGTCCTAAAATGGGCTGAAGTGACGCTGAAGTATGAAGGTAAATAAATCTGTCTGTAAACTGCTCTAGTTTTGGGGTATAACATAGGAAGCAGAGTCACTCTGAAGAGATTTGTAATGTGTATTTGTTTAACAGGGATTTGGTTTGCTTTCTCTTCTTGGGCACAAATCCTGCCTCCATGTTTGTGTTTCGTTAGCATTGTGTTCATAGTCAGTATTTCCTTTCAGTGGTTGATATCTGTGATTTCCTGTCTGTCATTTCCCCTTTCCTCTGCCCTATTTGCCTTTTTTAATTGAATGTACCCCGTGCTGAAAGCTAAATTTTCGCAGTCTGCCAGGGTTTCCTTTTCCAGCACCAGGGGAAGGGGCAACTGCTGTACAGAATTAATTATCTTTTATTTTCCTTCTGAACTGTGAAGAATGAGAGAGAGCTGATCTTTACAGCTGAGTACCAAAAACGTTATGGTGGGAATTTATCTTACGTGAGGCAAGTGGTTCCCCACTCACTGTTCTCCATCTCCATCCACTGACCAAGGAGTCAACAGGAGGCTTTATGTTTCAATATCCTCAGCTCTGATTTGTGTGTGCAACACTTGAAAACGTTTAGGTTTTCACTTGTTGTAGTTTTTCTTACCAAGTTTGGTAATAAATAAAAAAAGGCTGAAGAAAACAGAGATGTTTTTATAGTCTTCGTATTTGTGCATAATAGACAGCTGTAGTAATAAACAGGTGATAGTGTGCAGAGCAACAGCACTGGTTGATGTTTACACTGGAGTTCAAATGAACAAACAGAAGCTGAAATACAAGACTATTTATCTTTCTTTCCTGTCATTTTGGTTGCTGGAAACTTAATTTTCCAGCAGTAAACGATATAATCAGATTATATTTTAGCCCTGTCTGCTTTATATAGTTAATTATGTGCCAGTGGAAAACTAGAAAAAAAACATTACTGATTATTCTGCCCTCCAAAGTGACTGCTAAGCACTTATGCTCTGAAAATGAAATTATTTCAGATTTTCTTACAGGATATATTCTGCTTTTATTTTTCTTTTTCATTTTCTGTCAACTTCTTTTTTACGTGAATTTTGATTTTGCACAGCTACCTCCTCTACAGTAAGGAGCTTCAAAAAAATCCTGTAAGAAATCAGCTAATTGAAATGTTTCTGTTTGGTCTTTTGACCTGTTAAACAGTGGGCTTGCGGTGATTTTTCACTTTGACCACACGGAAACCTTCATCCTCAAACTGAAGTTGGAAAACTGTGCTCTTCTATTGGCTAAATCAAAGATGAGTTACACACTTAAAGTGAGTGCCCAGGATAAAGAAGATAAACATTTAAGATAAACAGCACTTTTTGAGAGCACTTCAGTATTCATTCCCTCTCAGCTATGAGTATTGTCTCAGGTATTGAAAGCACGTCCAGAAGTCAGTTTTGCTTTGGTCTGGCTTACTGTACATTCTCCCTTCCCCTGCATGTTCTTATGAATGGAGACCC